CTTCAAATAGATAAAACTTTTTAAAATGAATGAAGTATAAAGTTATTTGCTTTGGACTTTATTCATTTTCCTTGTTGCTGTTTTGACATTTGATCTTCATTTGATTCTATACTTTTTGTTTTCCAGCTTATTGCTGTATGCTTGCTTTTTCCCACTGTTACCATTGTGCAACCCTCTGTCCTTTGAACATCATCCTGTATCCACATGTGTGGCAGAAGTATTTCAACTCACTGTTCTAACAGGGCTGGGTGAGAACTTAAGTGTAGTCTGAGTCCCTATTATCATCGTTTGGGTTATTCACATATTGCTTTTATTCCCAAGATCTTGGCTATGTTAAAGCCATTGTTGAAAGTGGAATTCTTTGAGCTTTTGGGTGCCTGTTTGCTCTCAGGGGTTTTGGTGTGGAGTGTCTTTTTTTTTTTTTTTTTTTTGCTAGAAGCTATAGCCTACTTATGATCACATTCAGTCATGTGGTTTCTACATACTCAAGCATTGTGGTGAACTTTAGAAGAAGTGTCAGTCAGATTTGAATTCTGCAGATTTTATTTAAATATCACTCATTCCACTCTAAGTTCAACTGAATCCCAGGCTCACCAAAGACTGAAACATAATTGCTGCTTTTCTGTAAATGTTCCATCATCCCATGAGCTTCATTTTCTTTACCTGCATATTCACATGGGTCCAAATTTGAAAAGGTGCACATTCATATTCAATATTTATAGCTGAAGATCAACATATGAATGGAAATGAAAGCCCTAAAATGTGATGCGCGTTATTAAGGAAATGCATGTGTTACATGATATCCTCAAAGATAGTATGATATATTTTTGGTGAAATGTATATGAACTAAAAGAGTAGATATTTGAAACTAGATAGACATTCATCCTGCAGTTTCTGTAATATCAAATCAAGAAGGAAGGAGTGAGAATGAGTGCAACAAAGAAAAATAAAGGTAAAAACAGGTGGTACATTTTAAAACGAAGAGGAGCTATATTTTTGTGAACCACAAAATGATATGAAAACATCAAGACAGGAAACGGAGAAAATTGCATCAGGCTCCAGTGTTTATGTTTTTGATGGAAATATACAAATCATTTTCATCCCTTGCAGTGCTGTCATGCTCCATCACTTTAGTCCATTTTCACCTTGCAAAGAATTTTGAATGGGCCTTCCTTGCCTGGCAGCTAATTCATCTCTCACAAGCTTTCTCCTGCAGCCTCTCTGCCTGGGCTGCCTCATACGTTAAGCCGGAAACTCCTGAACAGATCCCCTCCCTTCTTGAGCAGTTCTTTCTCCCCTTAAGCTATGTGAAGACCTAGCTTTTCCATTCTGTGTGGGAAACTGCACACTATAATATATCATGGAAGAATTGCTTCCTCTATCCCATAAACATAAATGAATATACTCCTAGGTAATTGAATTGGGCTTTAATGACAGTAGACAAAGCCTGAATACAAATTACAAATTGCGAATTACGAATATTGTACCAGTACTATACATAATATACATGTTACATATCGAGAGAACTAGATTACAAATCCTGTGATAATACAGCTAAACTCATATTACTACATTTGACTTGAAGTCCTACTAAAGTATGCATATTAAATTTTAGTCTAATTAATGGAAAATTGTGTACGCACGTTTTTAAGGTGGGAGCACAGTTCAACACTGGTTGAAATATCCCAGTTTAGGAAAAAAAAAGATAAAAATCTTAATCAGGTTTCTTCTACTCAATAATTGCAGCTTTTTACAAAGTTGCTGCTAATGAATTGTTTACATATAATAGTGCTTGCATTAGTGGAAGTGTGGAACTGTGTTTCAGTAACAGATTAAACAGGGTTAGAAATATTAATCATACCTTAATGTTTTGCTGATGCAAGCCAGAAAGCATTATTTTTCCCCAATTACCTTTATTACTTTTTTATTTTCTTTCCGATGCTGTTCCCATTACATATTTTGCAGATTCTAAATTTTTCTTTATGTTCTCTTTCTTTTGAAATTGCTTTTTAATTAAACAAAAGAAAAATTTGCCAGTAGCTATGTAAAGCATGACTTTGGAAACCAAAAGAGATAAAACAAACAATATTTAGTTTTGCAGAAATACACGTTTTTTGTTTCATGTGTGTATATGTATTCCTTAAATGGATAGCCATACAGTTTCTCTGTGATTTAAGATATTGCCCTGTGTGCTTCTCTGATCAAAGTTTTGGCTCATAACAAATACAGCTGTGGTTTCTATAACTATCATATATTCACCCATAAATTACATATGAATAGTATCATTAGATGTGACACAAAAAATTCTAAAGATTTGCATAATATGAAAGCTGAATATAAGCCAAATTTCCACGAGAAATATTACATAAAATCAAGTAAAAATATCAAAAATTAAGAAAAGTAACATATCTTTTAAATGAAATTACAGAAATTGATAATTTAATTGGTATAAAACATCAAATGCTGTATCATTCAATTATGGTTTTACAAGATAGTAGATTCAAATGAAAACAGGCTGAGTAATATTAGGAAATAGGTGAAATAGAAATAGAGGGAAAACTTGATTTTCATTTCTGTACCTTACCTACAAATAGAATAAACATAATTGAGTGTCATAAAGAACTGGTATGAAAAATTTAAAAGAATATAAGGCTGATAGAGAAACTGTTACTCAACAAATGAGATGCTATACAATATAGTTAGAGTATCGCTTCTCGGCCTTTTGGCTAAGATCATGAGTAGAATATAGTCAATGCTCCTAGACAAAATAAATGGGGGAAGCAGCAATAAAGATACAGGGAAAGAAAACTTCGGAGAAAAAGGAAAGTCAAAACTAGCATTTGGATATTGCTATCTTGACATGATATGCTAAAAATTCAGAAATTTAATGATTCAAAGGAAATGTAAGAATTCTTGGATCCCACAGAGGAGATTGGATGGGGGAGGGAGGATTGGGATTGGGATTGGGATGAAGAGATCAAGCTGGCTGCAGACTTCGCCAGTACATGACAATGAAACATTTCTCTAAAAATATTTGAGAACACACAGTTAAAATAGCTGTGGAAGTTCTGTGTAATTATGAAACTGTATAAATGTACCAGTGCTAAAGATTAACTTATGTAGAGTTTAAGTAACTAGTAGGAGGATGGGGTTTGTGATTGCAGGTCAAAATATATATGAATTTCATACTCTAAAATTAACACTAAACTTTCAGAAAGTGAGGACATGATTTTTAAAAAATGAGAGGAAGTATGGGTTTATGTTCATTTCCTTTTTTACTCTATTTCCAAGTGTTATAAAATAGCACACCTAATTTAAAAATTTGTCTTAATTTAGGATTTTCTGGAGAGTTATATTTCTTGGAATGAGAAAATATTAATTTTTCTCAATGGCTTTAATTATGTTTTGCCAAATTTCATACAATATAATGTGTTAATATTTTAATAGGTATAGAGTTGTTTTTAATTTCCAGCTCTCTGTGCTTTCCTCCTTCTCCATGGAACCCATGGAGATGGGTTATTTAACAATAGTATGCATTAGAATATAAATTTACCAAGAAAATGTCTTGTATTTTTGGAGTTATTAGCAGAATACATTTCTACATAAAACAGTTTTTCTATAAGAATAGTTTTTTTCTTCTATATGAATTAACACTCCCACCATAAATTATAATAAGTAACATCCAGCAATACATCAAAATTTTCAAATACTTAAGCCTTTAACATGGTCTACAAAATAATTCAATTAAAACTCTGTTTTAGCTATCACGACTCTGCTGCAGCAGTTATGAGACACCAATAGTCGGTGTGAAAAGAAATCGGATGTTCCAATTTCAACCTCGTTTGCAACAATAAGCAGATTACATGGTCCATGGTTTAATGCTAGTCCATTGCATATATTATCACATTGCCAACTTTAATAATCAATATTGTTTGTCTATCTCTGAAATACTGGTGTAAAGAAACCAACAAAATATCTTGAATGATTGAATGTACTCATTTTATTTCCATGATGTAGATTTTATTTCTTGACTTAACCTTAATATGCAAAGAGTGCTATTGCTTTGGGATTCACATACCCATTTGCATACACAAAAGTTTTACTTCTTGATTTCACCAGAAAGGCCACAATTTAATAAACATTGCTCCTTATAATTCTTAGGCTCTGTACTTCAGTTGACCTCTCCCCTTCTGTTTTACATTCACAACCTTGTTCAATAAATCTCGGAATGTTGCAGCAGAGCTCAATTTCTAAGTGCATCAATTGAAATGATTCCATTCCCACCAGAAGGGACTCTGCCACTGAGGTGCACGATTTACTGTAGTTTTCACACTAGTTCTTGTCGAAGTCCCTACTGGAATCCATTCTCCTGGCTTCCAGTGTAGCGACCTTGCTGTTTGATTTTGAACACATTATCAAGTGATGCTGGTACTATTAATTTTGAAAAAAGCATTTTGAAGATTAGTAATTTAGATTCTCAGCCTAAAAGGCAAATTGCAATTACCTGGGGAGATGTTAACACACTAATATCCAGGTTCCACTCCAGCTCAACTGAATTAAAATATCTGAGGCTACAGATTTGATGTTGCTAATTTCTTTAATGGACTTAGGTTATTGTAATTTGCAAAAACAAAGATAATGATACAAAAAATTTCTCTTGAAATTTTGATTATGACATTTTCTTAATATGTTCCTTTATTAAATGTGACAATTTTTATGCAATAATTTCATAATGAATAAATGAGACAATATAAAGATGATTTACTAAAATTCTATGAATTGAATGTACATCAGATTTAATTTATGGTACTAATCCTATAAATTTGTTAGGGATAAAGTTTTAAATAATTTTTCTGTTAACATAATACTTTTGTAAAATTCTTGGTATTTATAACATAATTTTATGCTTCAGATCATCGAATTTGTATTAGCATTGTATTGAAAGTGTAAGCATTTGGATATTAAGTTGTAAAACTTTAATTTGCTCTATCTCTGTACAGTGAGCAATGCAGAGGCACTTTGTACGGACACACCGATTCTGTGAACAGCATTGAATTTTTCCCTTTCTCCAACACTCTTCTTACAGCTTCTGCAGACAAGACCATGTCGGTATGGGATGCAAGGACGGTAAGCAAAAATTGCCTGCCTTTCTCCACGTTTTGCTTAGTCTTAATCACTCTTCATTATTAAGTGCAACTTAGACAATGGTTGCCCGCCCAAAGGTATGCATAGTAAACAATGGTAATACTTTCCAAATTCCAAGACATTATCAATATGCTTTTATTTATCCTACCTCCCAACTGTTAGCACATAAAAGTAACATTGCTCCTTTAAACATCAGTTCAGCATTTACTTTCCAGAATTGCATTACTGCAACAGCACAGATTCTAAGTGGACACGTACCATCTCTCTAAATAAGCACCTTTGATATTGCCAAGAAAAGAGACATGATATTATTTGAAGTTTGTGTTTAAATGTGTGAATATACAGGTACTGGAAGAAGCAAGGACAATTGTCATTTGTTAAAGAATGGATGGATCCCAAGTGAGGCTAAGCTTCAGCTGTAAAGGGGAGAAATAGAACATTCCAGAAGTCTGGAGAGACACAGACTCTAGAAAAGGACAGTGCATCTGCAGAGTTGTAGAGATCTGAGTCTGCAATGGCATGTTTTCAGAGTAATGTCATACATGGATGGAGTTAAAGAAGTATATGCACATAGGCAGGGACAAGATTATGATGAGGTTAAGTTTCAAACTGTTGTACAGAGAATATACTAAAGAGTGTTAGCTAACAGGGTAACACATCCTCCAGATCTGCCTTGTATACAGACTGTATTAGTACTGGAGTAGGGCAGTCAGTAGGAAGACAAAGTTACTAAAGCCAGTATGAGTGGATGAGAGTTTGAACCGGGGAATTGTGTCTGAGGATGGGAAAGAGGGAGTATATTAAAGATAGGACATTGACAAGAACCAGATGAATCTGTAGAGGCACAGATTAGGTTGAGCAACCTTCCCAATTTGTCTTATGCTGTGAATTTTCCTGAGTCGTGGAATTCCAGAACTATAGTTGGACAGTCTTTATTATGCCCCCAACCATGAATCTGTAGTTAAGCAAGGTACAGAGAAGACTACACCTTCAGACTGTTGGTTGTGATGAAGAGTGGGAGAAAAGACTTTAGCTCCAGGTTCAGGTGGAGTATTTTCTTTGTTCAGATAGGAGGCTTGGTAAGCCTGCAGGTAATAGTTGGGTAACATTGATTATCTCGTAGGTAAGAGGGAAAAAGAAGGAACGAAAATGAGAAATTAGGAGAGAGAAGCAGTAACACAAAAGTTTACTGAATGTAGGTTTTCATAATTTAAAAAAAAATTGAAGATGTGTAAAACATGGTCTGAATATTCTTTGCAATTTTTGATGAGGACTATAAAAAATAAGACTCTGCATGTATGGTAAGAGGTGATATATCCTTAGTTTTAGTTCCTGGGAAGAAAAACATATTTTCAGCTTATCTCCACAAAAGACTATGATGGTGCCCGTACTGACAATGCGGAGAGGGCTGCAAATTCAGTTAAGTGAGGCACTACTAGGATTTCTAAGGCAAACTTTAGGGTCAGTGGAAACATAGGCATCCTTGGTGTCATATAACACGGAGAAAAACTAATGATAAAATGTCCTGTCAGGCTCCAACTTTACCTGGTGCTGAAGTTAGGGTGGCATTGTGGGAAAAATGTACAAGATACAACTTAAAATGATCGTTGTTGAAAATAAATGTCCCATTCCCACCTTGTTTAAAATGGCTCCAAATATGTGACAGAGTTTCTTTCCAATAATGAATCATCTGTAAAGAAGTAAAATTCTCACCCTATGTATCCCCTTAGAGTTACACGTGAAGGGTATATACAAGCAATCAGTAAAGGACAAATCCTTAGAGAAAGTATTAATTTAGTAGTGACTGAAATTTTATGCATGTTTTCAGTTGACATCAGGATTCTCTCACCTTGGCTCTCTCAGGCTGTAACTAGATGTTCTGAGAAAACATGTATCTTACTTTCATGCGAATTGAAGCACAAATGCTTGGAAGTAGAACTGCTCTAATTAAGGTGCCTCTCATATATCTATCAGCAGTGCATAATTATTTATTGATGGTGATGTCGATGTTGCAAGCCCTCACTGTACTGTTCTTATTACCCATAGAATTGGGGGGAAAGGAGATTAGCATAACAGGTTGCCTTTGGCATAGAAATAACATTGTGTGTGGGTAGAATGTAAGCACACACACAGTTTTAGTAGTCCTAATGCCTAGGAGTTTACTCAGTATAAATATTTTAAATTGGTTTCATATCAGATTTATAACACTGTGACTCGAATTCTGTTACTATGCATCCTTGCTCTGTACTCACTGAAAATAGCAAGTGGGATTTAAAATATTTTAGAAACATGAAATGCTGTCCATTACTCTATCATAGATACAATGTATATTATAGAGTACAATGAATAAATTTATGGTCTGAAAGTATTTTCAAACCTAATAAAATAAATTTGTGGCTAAGTATTATAGGAAAGCAACATGTAAGGAATAATCCATTTTATATAGTTTTGTTAATTATGTGATTTAAGTTTTAAAATAGTGCTATAATATTCTATAAATAAAATGTAGTGACACTACAATGAAACAATCCTTTCAGTAAAGTGACATTGAATAGTTATGGTGACATTGCTTCAGATAGTCTTCCTGATTTTAAAAATTCATGATTTATTGTCAGTTTTTTAAAGGGTCTTTATATGTTGCTTACATACTATAGAATTCTAAGTTGTTTCTTATCACAATGATTCATTAAGCAGTTAGGTTTATATTTGTAGTAGAACATTATGAAATGCTAAAAAGAATAATCAGATAGCTAAAGTCTTTTTTGGGTAATTGTAACAATTGCTTAGCACTGATGCAAATAATGTTATTGGACTGCAGCATCAACTCTATTCATTTTGTAGTGTTATGATGCCTGATAATCTTTAGTACATGTTAACTTCTTGATAAATGATAAGTAGTTGTCAGGTTAGACCAAAGGTCTGACATAAAAAAAGATGAATGACTTCCACGTTAGTAAAGCAATCTTAGCACATTTTAGCTTCCTGAGACACCCTCTGAAATATTTTTGGTGAAATGTGACAGTGACCAGTGGATTATCTTGCTATGAATTAGTTTTAAACCTCTTTCTTCCACCGTCAGACATACACTTGTCCTAAATCATTAACCTTATCTAACAGCTTATTATCAAGGATAATGAATGTGGGGACCTCTAAGTCGCTCTCTAAGTCAACTAGACAGACCAGCTCTGAATTTTGTAAAGGGTGAGGAGAGGAATATAAATCCTGGTCATTGCCAAATGGAGGCTGTAAAACAACTTGCTGTTGGGAAGCTCATGAAATTGCTCTCTTACAGGACTGCACGTATGTTTCATCCAAACTTAGCAGACAGTAAAAACTATTTTATTAAAACTGAAAAAGTAAGATTGTTTTATTATAAAAAAGATATGTCATACAGTAAATTTAATGAAAAATTATATTGCTATCCCCAAAGGCAACATGACAGACCCCAAGGTACGCCAGTGATCTGAAAGCCTGTTTAAATGCAATGAGACTGTTAGCCACTCCCTACCTTATTGAAAATATTAAGGATTCAAAAGTGTTTGAAAAAAAAAGAATGTGCTCACTACAGCGAAAACAGAGGATGCGATGAATAATGCAGCTGTGTGTTGTGTCAGCTAGGTTGGCAACAGTCACTTATACTGACATTTTCTATCCTGTGATGATTCAGACACAGGAAGCTCATGACCCAAACTACCATTAGTTGCCAGGCTTGCTCCCCATGCTGACTAACTGCAGGAAATTTTCCTGCTGATCGTCATCTAAAGGACCTATTAATTGGTCATTCTGCGTTGCTATGAAGTGGAAGCGTGTGGACCTTTAGAAGGGAAGTTAATCAATTGGTTCCTACTTATTGGTGCCTGACCTTTGTGCGCCCAATAGTTGAGTCTGCACTCAGATGAAATCTGATGAGTTCTTAGGGGAGCCTGACATTATTCAGTAAAGCACAGAATGTGGAAACAAAGGTGAAGCCTGTACCTTCTCTCTCTAGGTTGTATTCCTCCGCCATGTTTGATGTAGTAATTCTCACAGGAGACTTATGTGAAAGGCAACAGCATAGATTCTAGACAGATGTGACTGTGACAAAGTCCCTGCCCTCAATGAACACACTGACTTTTAAGAACAAAGTATAAAGGAAATTCATCTCCCAATGATGAACCTTTTGTTTTATATTTTATCAAAAGTATTGATTTTGCTATTGTAACTGATTATAATCCAGTGAGTCATGATTCCAGGATATGATAAAATTAACATTTACAAAATCAAGAATGTTCCCTGACAAAAGCAAAAAAGTATGAAATTAAAAATAATGCACAGAGTCTGTGCCCAGGATGTACAGACTGGATGTCCAGATTCATCTCGTTATATCCAGGTCTTGTGCAAACTCTGCTAGGTTGTTATCATCTTGAACTGAACAATTAGTTCCTTAGTCAAAAGTTTCCAAATGTAAAACAAAGAAGAAAGCCATATTTCAACACTTGTTGAAGTTAAATCTAAGAAGTTTTGAAGGTTACTGACTTTATATAAATGTTGCTGTAGAAACACAGCCAGATATCTGCTATCAGATGTTCTCTACACCATGCTTCTTTTGGAAAGGATGCTTGGTTCACAGTTAAAATGCCACATTGACTTTGATATGACAGTGAACAGGATTATTGTTTTCAAAAATATCTGTTGGGCCTGGCACGATAGCACAGAGGTTCAAGTCCTTGCCTTGAACGCACTGGGATTCCGTAAGGGTGCTGGTTCTTATCCGGGCAGCCCTGCTTCCCATCCAGCTCCTTGATTGTGGCCTGGGAAAGCAGTGGAGGACAGCCCAAAGCTTTGGGACCCTGCACCTGCGTGGGAGACCTGGAAGAAGCTCCTGGCTTCAGATTGGCCCGGCTCTGTTGCGTTTTGGCCACTTGAGGAGTGAATCAGTGGATGTAAGATCTCCTTCTCTGTCTCTCTGTATATCTGGCTTTGCAATAAAAATAAATCTGAAA